GAAGAAAGCGCTCCGAGAAGCCTGTGGTTTTCCTGCATTGCAGATCTAGCCCCATAATTGCATCTCCTCGTGCTTCAACCTCACCCCGAAACACAGTGCCGTCAGGAACACCGTTTCCTGGCTTTGCTGCAGTGTACTCAAGTTTTGGCACTACGCTGCTTTTGCACTGGTGCCAAACCTCGTGATGAATTATGTGGGTCAAACACAGCAAATTGGTGCTCAATCAGGTATGGATGCATTATTCAATAGTTTTCAAACACTCAAGCGGTGCTATTATGAGTAACACCTAGAATACGTTACCACTACTGCAAGATAGCTTTCCATTCATTCCTCCCGCGGCCTTTCGTTTTATGAGTGCATGGAATAATTGTATTCTGGGTTTTATAAACTCAGTTGTATTTAGATACTGGTGAAAGGATGATAATCCCCAGAGAAATTATTATTGCTTAATTTCTGCTGTGTGGACCATTCCCGATGCTCAGATTCAGATGTTTCAGTGCTATTGTCTGTCAAAATACACGTAACAACAGAAGGGCCATACTTAAAGCTTAGCACATGGGCTACACAACAATCAAAGCTACAGAATGACTGCTCAGAGCTGGTGTCTTTGCTGATGTATGAAGAAATAAAAGCTTGAGGGAAAGATAAATGGCAACTTTCTGCCTCAGGGTGAGGCTATTTCACTAGAAGCAAACTCAGGCTGCTTTTTCCCTAACAGACTAGAGTCATTTTTGCACGTATTGTATAGAAGAATAAGAAAATTGTTAATCAAAACTCAATGTTATCAAAGCTCTGTTGTGAAGGGTACACTGACTTCAACCACATAACTGCAGACCTCATTCAGAAAGCCTGGAGATAATCCTATTTTCATTTCTTCCAAGAATATTATGGTCCAATCTTTCCCATTTCCCTAACAGAACTAATGAGGTCATTAATCACATTCTTGGGCCTCTAATACTACTTAAAGTGCCTTACTATTTTATTTTGCAAAATTCGAGCGCAAGCCACTTGTTCAGGTTCAAATTCAATGAACTTGCACATAACCCTGATATTCAATTCACTGGAATTGTTTATGTCGGCTTTATCTGGAATCAGGGTCCAGTGAGAAAGGACTCCACCTACTTTTTTTTTTTTTTTAACTTCCTGAGCCCCATTAATTATTGACTTACATTTTTATTCCTCTTTATTTCATTCCCAACAGGAAATCAGAAAAATAGTTTTCCAGCTTCAGACTTTCCAGCGTCAGTGAGTATAATTCAAAAGATGGGCAGTATTACTATATTTTCAAACACAGGTTGAACACATTTGGGACAGGAAGCTTGCAGGAAGGTAGTTTCAGATTTGAGACTCAGGTCATATTCTAATGCTGCTAATTCTTATCAGGCTGTTGCATAACGGACTTTAGTCTTAATTGAAACTGTCCAGTCAGATTAAACTTCACATTTAGGCATGGAAGGCAACACGGTGATCAGAACAGATTCCGTGAGCTAGAACGTAGGGTGTTTTTACACAAACACACTTCTGCTAACCTGAGGAAAGTGTAATACTACTACTAGTACAAAAAAAGAACTTTTTGCATCTGGGCTTTCTACATCACAGCCTGTTTTCACACTGCAGGAAGCAGCCCCTTCCATAAACTGGCCACGTTGCTAAGAAAAGGGCAGGAATAAAATTGCCTTATGCTTTTGCCTTTTGTCCTCCCACATAACCTTTGGCAGGCTGTTCCATACAGACAGGTATTTGATACACAAAACATTTTGAGGTGGTTTCAGTGTGTTTTGGGGTTTGTTTGTTTTTAAACTCATGGACGATGTCAATACAAACCCCTGATGGGACTGGCCTGATTTTAAGATTCATCTTGCAGACCTTGCTGAAGGCCTTGGTGTTGTTGCTCTCTTCGTTTCTAACCGAGCTCCTCAGCTCAGTTACAGGGAACAACCCCAGGTAACACAAATGTCGAACGTCTATAAAAAACCCCAAACGTACATAGTACCAAGGGTAGACTGCAAATTTTCAGGCAAGTTCAGAAACCACATTCTTGTCATGGGAACATTAAAGATCAGAATCATTTGTGGTGCCTTGTCATCTTTAGCAGCTGCATTCCAGTCAGTAGCTATTTTTTTTAAGTAACTGTAGGTACATTCTGCTGTAGACCTAGTCATGTTTCTCCACCAGACACCCACTTCACATCAGCCTTGGACATCTGTCTACAGACACAGTACCCCTTGTTTTCCCACTGGAAATAGGGCATCTGAGAGAAAGGTGCAGTCAGTAACACCTCCTGTGAATCTATTCCAAACACCAGCCACGTTCATCACTCTGATGGATTCAAGCAGATAATACATGCTTGCAGGTGTTACCTGACCCTAGACTGTCATGGCCCTTCTTCCTGCGGAGATTTCTATAAAAAACAGACAGGGCTTGCATTTTTCAAGGTTTAACATTCCTAACTGAAGCAAAACCGTGCTGCCAAGTACCTAGTTTCAGTACCAGTGTGACCCTGAGAGAGAAAGGTTGTGAAGGATCCTTCACATGCCAGTTATAAGTTGGTAACTCTTCCCTGTGACTCAGCAAAGCCCAATCAACAGCCCCCCAAATAGCCTGAAGTGGTTAAAACAACACCTGAGGTGACAATCTGCTGTTACATGGATGTAGATTTGTAGAAGAAACCAGAAGGAAGGTTGTACAACACCAGAGTTTGTTTGGAGGGCTCTTGTGTAAGACAGGATTGATGGTTGGACTAGATGATCTTACAGGTCTTTCCCAACCTTAGAGATTCTGTGATCCTGATTCCCAAATTACTCTTTCCAGGAAACATTTGCTCATAAGCAGACCCTCGTAACAGCAGCAGCCTCCAGAAAACTTAATCTCTCACACATTTCAGGCACTGCCTCATTTTGGGCTAGACTTGGAAAGTGCCAAACTGGCACGTGGAAAGTGAAGGCACTGCTCTTCAGATTTCTGATCCCTAGTAGCCAACACCTCAGAAGGATGTCACTGAAGAGCCAAGGTCACAGGTGGTCAAACCCAACCCCTGACCCTGAACCCCAGGACAGCGACTCTGCCCTGAGAAGCATCAGGCAGGGACAGAAACCAGTGAGGTGGTGGTTCTTATCCTGGTGCACTTCACTGAAGAGCAAAGCAGCACTGGCAGCTACGGTCAGCAGAAAAAAGGGTAAGGCACCAAAAAATACTGTAAGGTAAAGATAGAAAAATACTTCGGTTTTAATTGTGAACATAGCCCAAAGAGCAACATTTCCTATTGAGAAAAAGATAGGAATTGTGAATGAAGCAGAATATATTTGCATTTCAAGTGACAAACAACAAAGCTTAAAAATAAAAATATTTTAATAAGCAGTAACTGGGAGACGACCCCGTATTTGCTTACTACATTTGGGACAAGCACCTGCTCTACAGATGAAAGCCAGCTTAACAGTCTCTGAGTTTTCTGCCTTGCCATACACGAAGGTACATACCCTTATTCTACAATTCCAGCAACAGATATACAGCACTGCAAATAAAATCTTAACGTCTTTTGACTGAAGTCCTGTGCTGCCACACTGTACTATGCAAAGGAGTTACATGGAGTCACAGAAAGCTAGTGCACTGGAAAGGTTGCCTCATTCCACAGTTTATACAGACTTACACACTTAAACTGCTCAGCTTAAAAAGATTACACAAGTAATTCAGTTAAAATGTGTTTATATGATAAACTGTGTTGTTTAAAGCTGGCTATAGATTCAGCTATTGGACCACGAATGAACAGCTTTTGGTAACAAATATGCAATCCCAGAAATACAACTCACTTAAACTGCATTCATACTTAATGAGAATACATCTTTTCATCCAGATGGAAACAAATGTGTGTTCAAGAACAAAATAAAATCTCTTATTAAATGGTTTGCAGAATTTATTAGGTCTTTTTTAATATACTCAATACTTTATCAAGCTAGTTGCAATATAAAGTGATCTCCACCATATACATTACAATTTCTGTGCATCATCTAAAAAAAAAAAGTCACCAAGAAGTACTATTTTACAGGTTACAGTTAACTTTTAATTAACCTAAAAGTGAACCCTTCTGTAATTTAGACACTAACCCAAACATTCCTTCTAACTGCAATATTTAAATTAGGCTTCACAGCAAGCTCAACCTGCAGTTCAACAAAGAGAGGTTACTGCCATCTCAGCTTTTGAATTTCTATGGTTGACTATCTTCACACCGCCAAAATTTAACGTGGTGTTTTCCCAAAAGCAGGAAAAAGTATGTGACAATTCCTTTACAACAAAGCCTGCTCAGAATAAGTATGCCTCAAGAAAATGAGGGAATTCCTCCAGTACAAGGAACTTGCCCAGATTAGTGAATAGGAAAAAAATAAACTTAGGTTCTTCTTGATAAACGCTTGGAACTGCTTATAAAAAGCAAAACCAGCAAGCACAGTAGGCAAACTAGTACTGGATATGACTCAAAGCAAAGAAAAGCAGAAAAAACCCCACATATTCCTAAATGCAACAAACATTCCCAATTTCAAAGAAACTTTAAAAGGGACTCACGCAGATAATTAAGAAATAGCTTTTCTGGTATCTTCATAGGATGCTAGATTACTGGCCAGGCACACATATTGTAAATAGACAAAGTATCCAGAGCGCTGAAATTTACCCAGCACTTAAAGGATTTAACATAACAGAGGTGGGTAGGACACAGGAAAAATATTTAACAACTTATATAAATATATTAAAATCTCAGCAAGAAATGTAAGAGCCCATGCACACAAGACAGTAAATTGAAAAAAAAACAACAAGCAAAACAAAACATTTAAGACTTGACTTCTCCTTTCAACAGCACTGACACCTGAATTGCAGAAAGTTCACAATTTACAGTATCTTAGAGCAGTCTTTCTCCACACAACCTCTATGTACTGAATCACACGGACATTACACAGCACGTGAACAAGCAGCAGATGCATCAAGGGGTCAGGAGCTATATATATATATATGCATCGTGTGGCCTGCCCAGTTAGAGGCAAATACCAGAGAAATTGTTTCTGACACAGGCAGAGATACAATCAATATAGCTAATTGTATACCCGTCAGTTCCAGGAGTTAATCCACAGTATGGGAAAGGGGAGCTTTAGATAAAAATAATGGACCCAGTCTCAGAAGTGACAGAAGCAGAGACCTATCTCTCCAAGACTGGGACCACCCTGGACTGGCCTTGATGCACATGCAGTACATTTGTTTTCAGAACACGGGATTAATTGGGAATGTCTGCACTAGTGTTTCGATTTCCATATTTGTGATGGATGATCAGCAATACAACTCCTAAGAAGAAGCATATGGACCCAACAGTGATGTAAGCGATTCCCAGAAAGGGATTTTTGCCTCCCATCCACGAGATGGTGCTTAGGATCATTCTTTTTCGTCCATCGAAACTGTGTACAGGATAATCTGAAGAACATATAGGAAAACAAGAAGCGCGTTTCCAAATCTAGCTTTGTGGGGTTGGACACGTGAACATTTCGGATCATTTCACTCAGGTTCCAAATACAAGTTGCTGCCTTTGAATACTGGGAGTACAAATACAAAAAATTCAGCTGTTCTGTTAGGCTAACCCTAATCCGGGCACTGTCAGTTGCTGCAAAGAAAAATGCCACATTGGGAGATGTTAACTATTTTTTTTAAAGGGAGAGTAAATCCATGATTTCGAGAGGTTTTGAAAGCGGCTTCAGTAAAGCGAGGGAAATCTAAATTTTAATTCTTGGCTGTATTTTAGTACAAAATTTTCTTCTAGTGGCTTTATGTCCATTCAGTTTTACAGGCACTCCCCATGGTTTTGCGGCAAAGGAAAATACTGCAGTAGCTATTTAAAAATGATCTTTAAGTGCTTTCGCATTTTCAGAATTTGGTAACCATGACAACCCTCCTCCCCTAGACTCCTGCACTTCTAGCTAGTCTTTAGTTGGCCAAAATAGACTGACAGACCTTCCCACCTGATCCAAACTTCTGGCATTTTTCTGACCTCCAAAGTCAGTCTGCCCTTGATCGTCATTACACCCTAAAGTTCTCAGATTTCTAGGCTACCAACTACCTCTGTTCTTTCCTTTTTCCTGTGCAATCTGATTTCCCTCTCCCTATGAAGCTACTCATTTAATTTTATACACGGATTTGAGTAATTGCACAGTGGAGCAGGGTGCTCTGGAGCAAGTCCGCAAGTAGAGAGTAATCTGACAACAATACATGAAGCTACACAAGGACACAAAGCAGGCCCCAAACTCCTGAATGAATGTTAATTCCTGCTCCCATGAAAAAATGTCTCTCTCAGATAACCAATACCCTTCAGTGTCAAAGCACTGATTAAGAGTCCAGAAGCACAGGAAGGCATCAAAGAATTTGGGACCTACACGAATTCTGGATGGAGACTTTTTCCAAGGGCCTGTAGTGACAGGACAAGGGGTAACAGGTTTCAACTGAAAGCAGGGTGATTTGGATAAAAAGAAAGAAAGAAATTCATCAGAAAGAAATTCTTCAGGAAGAGAGGGTGGTGAGGCACTGGAACAGGTTGCCCAGAGAAGCTGTGGATGCCCCATCCCTGGAAGTGTTCAAGGCCAGGCTGGATGAGGCTCTGAGCAATGTGGTGCAAAAATGCACACTGCAATTGGTCATATTAGCAACCTAAGGGTTAAAGTGTGCCCATACACAGTATTTTGCAGAAACTAGAACCTGGCTAACTGATTCTTAGGTCACTTAGCAGATTTCACAAAAGCTTATCAGCTCACCTGAAGGCTAAGCATCACCTGAACTATGCTTAAATATCTTCCAGTCAGCCAAAATGCAGGCAGTCTGCTCAAAAAATTATCAGATGGAAACACTCCCATCCATAGACTTGAGCCTCTATCCCACACAAAGCAGCTAGTGGGGACCGCAAGTACCCATAAACATGAACAAGTGTGCAAGAACGAAGTGAGAGACACTGACCATACGCCTGTGAGAATTCAAGGCATGTGTACAGAGAAGACACTAGTATCCTCCAAAATTTGCCTACTGGGTAAATTCTACACTGAAATCCTAATTCCCTAGGATTAACATCTCTTATCTCCTCACAAAGACCTCCTCTGAAGAGTTGGAAGTTTTGTTTGTTTTGAAGGGTTTCATCCTGGTTAAAAAAAAAAAAAGTTGTTTTATATGAACTACAAAATAGCTTAAGAATGTTATGATTAAAGCTAAACTTACACTCTTTAATGTCAGTCATTTCATTTGTGAAGCTTAAGAACTGGACTGGATTTTATGTTCGCACAGGCCACGAGTTAATTCTATAAAAACTTGCACAGAAGTACAAGGTGGTAATTATTCTACCCAATTCTTGCTATCACTTTTCAACCACAGCTCAAAACCATCTTTTTTTTTTTTTAGAGATGGTAAGATAAAAAGGCTGTTTCAGTTTGAACTGGGACAGTTATATCCCTGCATAACCCAGCTAAGGCCCTTAGCTGCTTTCAAAGGCTTTTAAAGGATACTGTATGCGATATCCAAAGAATATTTTCCAGCCTGTAAGGTAGGCTGTAAATTATTCTTCCTTTCGATGAGACGATACAGCTTGCGAAACGTGGGCAGAGCAGCAGTACGCATCCACACAATGAAGTCTTCATTGATGAAGCCGTTGTTGTCAGGCTCCGAGTCCAGCATATACACTGGCTTGGGCCAGTTGACGGGCTTTGTTGTGCCTAGGATTAAACAAAATCAGTGACAAGAAAGTGTTTCAAATACAGGACGAATTAACATGCTGGCTCATCAAAATTCATTCTAATATTACAAAAAAACATTAGCCTCTGAACAGTATGAACAGACAGGTTGGCTCACTACTATTGCAAGATACCGGGCTGTTTAAGAACTTAGTATTTTGCAGCTTAAATAGTAGCACATAACCATTTCTTCTCATGACAGCACTGTCCGTTTGTTTAATTTGTCTCCTCTACACATTTATATAGTTAGGAAGTGTTGACTCAAAACACTCCTCGAGTGAAATAGTTCTCCATCGTGACAGCTCCTCTGCTCTACTGTTAGAGTCTGACTACCACTTCCTGGACCACAAGCAAATAAAATTATGTCCAATATTTTAGAGGATGCCATACTAATGCTTTTGCTAAATTTGTTGGAAATACAATTCTACACTGTATTAGGGTAAGGTATCTGTTTTTCCAAGGGAAGTATCACATGGCTAACATGTAATTTGGCTGTGACTAAGCAAGAAACCCACATCACGTTAAACCTGAAATTACTGTACACCTTGCATAAGCACACACACATTCCCCTTAGAGTCCTGAGGAAGATTATTTTCAGACATTAGTAGCCCAAGAAAACTTTGATTTACCAAATGACATAAATCAGTCACTTCCAATCACAAAAAAGGATCAGGTTTTTGGAAAGCTTTGCACAATCTACCAGTAGAAACATTTACAAGAAAACTCCATGTGAAGAGTCTGAGTAAACAATTGCAAAATTTCTTTTCAAGGTAAATCCAAACATTACAGCAGCTGTACTGGTTTTGGCTGGGATAGAGTTAAATTTCCTCATAGTAGCTTGTATCCTGCCATTTTGGATTAGTCATGAAAACAGTGTTGATAGCACACTGATGTTTTATTTATTGCCCAACAGGACTTACACAGCCTCAAGGCCTTTCCTGTTCCACCTGCGAGTATCCTGGGGGTGGCAAGAGGCTGGGAGGGGACAGAGCCAGGACAGCCAACCCCAAGTGAGCAAAGGGATATTCCACACCATATGACGCCATGCTCAGCCATACAACTGGGCAGGGTAGGGGTACGCAGGGGCTGCTGCTGCTCTGGGACTCAGTTAGTTGTGAGCAATTATTTTCTTTTGCATCACTTGTTTCTTTGAGGTTTTATTTTCCTCTCTCTTTGTTGGTGGTGGTTTTGGGTTTGGTGGGTTTTTTTCCCTCCTTCCGGTAACAATGTGGGTTTTTTTATTAAACTGTCTTTATCTCAACACACAAGCTTTCTCATATTCACCCTTCTGATTCTTCCCTCCAGCCCACTGGGCAGGGGCACAGTTGTGCAGTGCTTAGGTGACAGACAGTGTTAAACCATGACAGCAGTGCAGGTATGAGGCTTTTCTTAGTATTCAAGGTGAAAAAAATTATCAGAAATTAGAAAAAAAAAATTACAGTAAAGGCAAAACCCAAACACTTTCACATGAAATCTACAGCTTTCATTATTAAAGACAACCTTTCTAAATAGAATTCAAGTCCTTAGCTTGGGTATCTTCAAAGAACCATGATATTTTTAATTAGCATGTTCACTAAAGTGTTGTCAGTGAGTTAAAACTCACTGGAATCAAAATGTATTTGAAGTGTTTGTTCTTAAAATTTCACTTTTTTTTTTTTTTACCTTGAAAAAGTGCAGTTAAGTTATTTCCATCTCCTGTAGGGTTCCTGAACTTTACATTCTTATCTGTCCACCACGCAATTCCTTTTTTAATCAAAGTAATAGGAGTCCTTGTGTCGTTATCAATGCGGTATAATTCCAGTGTATCTAAGGAGAAAATCAAATTAGAAAACCAGCCGGAGAAACTTCCATTAGACAGATGGCACTGACAGGCAGTGAAACAACTACCTCCAGGAGAGGCAAAACAAAAAACTGGACCAGGCATTTATTACCGGCCTGCCACAATTGCGAGTTGTTCTGTAAGAATCTATGTACATATGGATAATCCGCTGCTATCTAATGATATCTGTGTCTACTCCACAGCAGTAGCAGCTTCTCACAACAGGTATTTTCATCCTCGGTACGCTATTGGATTAATTCTGATAGCAATTTTGAAAAAAGCAACAGCAGTACAACACAAGATATTTATTGTATCCTGTACAATGAAAATGTGTCAATTCAAAACCAAAGAAAGCCCACGATGTCTTTACTCATAACAACTTGCAACACAACGCAAAAACATCTAAGTGAAAGCTTAAAATCGCGTTACCGTACCGTTAAACATACTGTTGGCAATAGCTCCACAAGGAGCAATGGGTTTGTCCTCATTTGTGCGGTAAGGCTCACATTCCTTACTTGGATTCTGGCAGTCAGAAAGAAACAAAGGCAGATGAGTCTGTGCTAGAGTATCCAACTAATCTGGTTTTTACTACAGTACCTCAGTGACATGCACATCTTAAAAGTACCACAAAATAATCTTTTCGGAAGCCAGGTTATTTACAAATACACTTCAGCATTCAATACTAGTTAGCATGAGTGGTTTTTTTCTACAAGCAGGAATAAAATCTAAATAAAGCATGAATAAAGTCAGAATCCCATCATGGTCATACAAAAAAAAAAAAAAAGCTTTTTCTTAGAAGCTACTAGAACTTACTTTATCTTTCAATAGAAACAGTTTTCCAACAGGAAGTACTCGCATATTCTTTCAGTAAAGGCTTTTTTTTTTTTTTAAGTATTCATCAGTGCTATAGAAAATAAGATGATAGTAAGAAACCAAGCGCAACATAAAACGCAGAAGGTTGCAAGGACTCCAACAGCATGCCAAAAATGCAATCAGAAAAAGTCCCTCCAAAACCCCGTGTCAGTCATCAGACGCAACCTCCTGAAACTCTCTCCTTTTTTTAAAGTTCACAGGTAAAAAGGGAGAATCATTCTTGTTGGAGCAAGAACCCAACTGCATTTCCACTCCTCATAAGAATTAAGAAAACCAGAGGTCTGGCCCTAAACATTATACAGTGCCTTGAACAGAATACACAGTACTGATATTTTCCAACATCGCTGATGTTCGATATTGAACCAGAGTCCACAAAATCAGATGTATTTAGCTGCAGTATCCAAACCAAGCACTAAGTAAACAAATATTATTTTATAATGAAAACTTCAATCAGAATGGATACAGACAGATACTGACTGAAGATATGACAGTTTGACTACTCAGATTTGAGAAGTCACTGAATTACTGCATTGCTGCCCCCCTAATGAAATGACTGACATGAAGTTTTACAGTATTTTACAGTTATTTTCTGTAAACAAAATATGAATTCCTTATTCTTTTGCTAGGCAAAAATTATAGCACCTCATTATTAGTAGACTAAAAACCCTGCTATGTGGTGATTTATACAACAGTCAGAAGTTAGCTGCTTCTTAATATCCAAGCACAAATACCTACAAGTAGTGAACTGTTATCTCCGTTTAGCTGGCTGTCATCTCGAGACTTCACATAGCGACGATGGTTTTGATAGAAGTTGGAAAGTCCATAATACATGAATACGTTGCTCTATGAGACACAAGACAGGGCAAGAGGGGTTGTCATTCGCACAAAGAACAGATCAATAAAACATACAAACACTCTAATTATCACAAAGTTTATATTTTAGCCTCTTAAACTGTGTTTACAGCCACATTCAAAGTAGAAGCCTCAAGCCTGTCCTCACAATGAGTAGATAAGAACACTATCCTGACGTGAGCTGGCATCCTCAAGTCAAACAGTATCAACATACCATAAACTATCAGAATGCTATCTTCACCAGCACTAACCCCAACACCTATATTCCCTGATGTTAAGCATGTAAGCCTCATTATTTGCCTCCAATTTGCCAGAATGCATTTATCTGGTATTTCCAATTCTTGCTGGGCTGAGTTTTTGTCACTCACGCAGGAACTGCTGATCTGCTCATGGTAAATCTAAACGTGTAAACCACAAGCATTCCATTTCATGTTGTACATTTTCCAGAAAAAAAGGCACTAAAAACCATCTCATCCCTGCTGCTAAACAGGCAAACAAAAATCAGATCCAAGTTCATAGAAAAACTAGAAGTAATCCTTCAAGATAGAAAAAAAAAATTAAGATTTAAGCAATACAGCTCTCCTATCCATTAGGAAATAAACCATATGAACTGTTCTAATTCCACTTTGCACACAGGGTACCTTACCTCAAATGAATGTTCCAGTGTGAAATTGATGGTGCAAGTACAAGGCGGTGCGCTGTCCCAGGACACGTTTAGACACTTGTTGCAGGGACTAGAAGGCTCTGTTCCTGTATAGTCAATCTGCAACAGAAAGAGAGTGATTAACTTACAATGGGAGGGTAAAGAAAATTGATTAATAAGCCAGAGAGTTGATTTGGCATTTATTTTGCAATCTTATTACACCTCAACTCTGAAAGCCCACTCAGGCTTATTCAATGATCTCAAGAGGTCCTTTCTAACCTAAACAATGTGTGATTCTGTCTATATGCTCAATTCCACCCTCAAACAAATTCAGTACTGAGGTGGGCCATTACAAAATATACACACCAAAACACAAACAGCAAATACTCCAGATAACAGCCTGTTTCCAAACACACACACACACTAAATGGACAGCATGTCATTGCTCAGATCTGCTTGTCAGAGAGGTTAAATTTTTAAAAGTCTAGCTATTTAATAAAAAAGGTTTGCATTAGAAAACTTATTTTGCTATTTTAACCATTAATCAGACAATTAAAAAAAAAGTAAAAAAAAAAATCACTCACCTAAAATAGGGAAGATGAATGTAGATTTAGATTAGATATCAGGAAGAAGTTCTTCCCAGAGAAGGTGGTGAGGCACTGGAACAGGTTGCCCAGAGAAGCTGTGGATGCCCCATCCCTGGAAGTGTTCAAGGCCAGGCTGGATGTGGCTTTGAGCAACCTGGTCTAGTGGAAGGGGGCCCTGCCCATGGGACATCTAGGGAACTAGAAGGTCATTAAGTTCCCTTCCAACCCAAACCATTCTATGGCCACATTCGCTCTCTCTCACAACTCTAGCATGTGAATGGCAGGAATTAACTTGGGCTCAGCAGGCTAACTCCAAGCATAGCTGGAGAAAGGTTCCACCTGCCCATACACTATGTATTTCTACACTTACTATGAACTTCCTATTTAGCACTTAGACTCAGACGGGTGCAACATAGTTTGTTGCCATAACTTGGTATAAGAGCAGTATCATTTAAACTGTAACTCCTATATAGTGTTAGGAAAGGCTGCTGCAAATGGTTTGCCCTGATTTATCCTTGTAGTGAAATGCCTTATTAAGAAATAGAGTGATTTATGATCTATCCTAGTGTCTGTCCTAAGGTTACCTAAAACAAACATGCAGTTTCAAGGTTCAGGGAATGACTGAAGACTATTTTTCTCCGGATCTTCAAGGTCTCTCTTCCTGTGATTTCTTCGAAATCTATTAAGCTGCAACCCTCCCCTCAGCACTTTTATTCGTATCCACGGTGCTGCCAGATTTCTGACAGATGAGACCTATGCCCTAACGAGCCTAGCTGTAATGAGCCAGCTTCAGAAGCTATTAGCTGGCACAGAGACAGAGGATCACATAATCTTTTGTTTCCTTTGCCGAACAAGACATTGAGTTTATGCTGATCTAGAAATAGCACTACTGCAGCAGCCCTGAACTGTTTAGCTACAGCACACCACCACAGCTCTCAACAAACAGTGCATCTCATTTGTTCAAGGCTACCTTGGTGTGTGGGTTTTGTTTTTCCCCTACTAAAGTTACCTTAAGCAAGCATTTCCTTTAGAAAGAATTTAAACCTCCATACCCTAAGCTAGTTATTAAGTGCATAAAGTTTTAGATCAAGAACAAAACTCAAATACTCTAAGGTTGCAAAAGATGTAAAGACTTTGCTTTTAAAAATGTAACTGAATAAATTCTGTGGAGCATGAAATTGATGTATATTGAAACAGAACCACGCTTTCACCACTGCTATCAGCTCCAATGCTATCCAAGAGCTTTCCTGTACAGTAACTGCCAACACAAGTGGTTTTTTTTCTGCAGCCACATTGCCAGGTTATATTCAACAGACAGCTGAACTAAAGGGATAGAGGTATCCATCGTCATCTCTAAGCAAAATAAGAAAACCAGGACTTTGAGAACTGAAGTTACCGATTCTGGGTCACGGCAGGAACCTGCCTGACCCAGCGTTCAGTCCCCAGGGATCAGCCAGCAGCTGAGGACAACAAACCCCCAGAGGGAGCCCTTCCCAACAACCGCTGATCCAAGGACACTGCGTATATCCAAGCCAACTAGCACCAAAGTCTATTCAGGCTGTTGATGTCCTTCTCAGTCTATTTACATTTTTGCAGTACAGGAATAACATAACTACCGCACATATGTATTCTCCAAACCACTGGTGATTTTGTTGACTTCAACACCCTGTCATGTAATTACCCTGCTCCGCCTGGCCGCTTTTTGCCCAAAAGGCATCATTTCTGAGATGGTGTTACTGGAACTGCCCACAGCACTGAGGAGGTATGCAACAGGAAACTACTTTCTTTCAGCTCTTCATTCCTAGTACCTTCATGCCCATCTGGCTTTTTAACTACAATTACGCGTTTCACAGCAGCAGTCACAGCACAAAGATATCCTTCCTTCACAAATAATGGTTTGGACATTCCTCAATTTTTATCACATTTTAATATGCTCTGTCAATGTTTCTTATCCATTAAAAAAAAAAATCAGGAAACAAAGAATTCTCTCACCCTTTAATAACAGGGCAAAGAGACATTCACACAGCTGATTCATTTTCCACACACATGAACTATTTCCATGATAGATCTAAGATAAATGGCTGTTTATACCCTTTGAAACAGTGAGAAAATGCTAGAGAACAACCAACAGAAAAAAACCTATAATTCTAGTACACTTAAGTTGTTGATCTTCCACGTTTGAATTCAAGAGTGCTTATAAAGGAAATCAATGGAAAAAGCTACATTTTGCTGCTCAGTCCTTGCACCTGTACGAGAACAGCAGTTTGCAGAGATATTAATGGCTGAGATACATATTTATGTACAGTTCAAATCACCTTTTCCTGGAACTAGGTATCTCAAGGACATAAATTAAACATCCTATTCAAATGCAACACACAAAGTTTACAGGCAGCTATATATATCTATATGCGCACACACACACACTTAACAAGTATGCTATTGTCTAGGAGGTGGGTGTAAATAACTACCTCTGCTTCTTCCCCCGATTACGTTTTTTAAAAGAGCTTAGTCACTGCCCTTAGCTTCCAAATGCCTTGTCTCCCAGAGCTAAATTTACAGCTATTTGTGAATAACATTTGGAGGTTACTAACAAAAGCCAGCATACTGAGCAGGGACATACCTCAGCTAAGCATATATAGGTGAGAGCAGTGTCTTAAACCACATCCCTCAGTGGTGTTAGAGCCCAAGTGCTGGCCTGTAAAATGCTTCATCTACGTTTTGGTGCTGCAACTGTAAAAGTTTTTCTTATTTAAACCCTTTTTCCCCCCCCCCAAAAAAAAAAATTCAGCTGCCTTCAGAATGATAATCTCGCTCCCAGAGTTTCTGCATTATAACGCTCGATAAAACACGTGCAGGGATCAGAGAACAGAACATAAGCTTCCCCGTTCTTACCTACATACCCCGACTGATCATACCCTGTCCCTCCTGTCCTCATGAAAGCCTAATGACCTGACCTGGGACAGCTCCGTGTGAGGCGAGGGATGCAAGTCCGAACCCACATAGTAAAACAACCAATCAACCTTTCCAATCCTGAAGATCTTGAAACGAGAAAGGGTGGATGGCCAGCACCTGCCAACTGGTTTCCAAATGTAAATGGCTACTCCTGCCTTATCTATGCAGTCTGATTGCACAGGGGCACGTCAGTCATGCTCCCAGCTCACCTAGGGATCTTCATACTGCGCATAGGGTGGGAAAAACTAGTTTTTGGCTCCTGCTGGAACTCATCAGGAGAACACTGAGCTGCTAGAAAAACAATAGTCCATAACAATCCTGTATAGGCATACAGCAGCGACATAGGCACAGGGAGTTGCTTATGTTTTTGGACTCATGAAAGTCTGGTGACTTTCCCGTCCCTATAGATCACAGGGGATACAGTCATAATGAGAAAAAGGAGATCCATTTACCCAATTATATTTACCTTACACTCATGATCTATGATTCTGTACTGCTTTACTACAGAGATGGCAGTTTTAAATGAAACTGTCAAAAAGTAAGAGTTAGCAAGGATTTTTTTTTTTTACTTCACTGAGTGTCCCACTAAAAGCATGTCATTGTGTTTACCTTAAATATCACTATAACATGACAACTTAAAAGTCTACATGCCCGTGACAGCTTGGCAGTTGTGCCAGTTTTCAGATGTTCTGCACACCCTCAAACCTTGACACAAGAAGCAATCACTTTTCAAAAGTACGCTTACATTTGGACACTGTAAAATATACTTCAGCTTTGGTGTTTTTTTTCCACTTCTGCTTTTCTCTCTGACTGGAATTTCAGTTTTTAACATAAAAGGAAAGTGAAGCTCAAAGTGGTTTTATTATAACAGTTCTGCATTTTAGCAGAAATATGAAAATGTAATACCGTTAATGGTCTGCCTCAGAATTTCTTCAGTTAATTGGGCTTCAACACCACCTTGCTACCACCAGCCATGCCACTGTCTTGAACGCTACTTATTTGAAAGTGATGGCTTACTCTGATAACTAGAATGATTTGATGTGTTAAAAAATAATATTCTCCAGTACAGCAATCCAGCAAAAAATTTATGCATTTTTTCCTCTCAATCAATTTTGGTCGCATTAGCTCACTGGAGCTAATAGTAGACGTCAACTTACTTTCCAAGGTTGTCCCTAAGCCCTTTGGGTTTTTTCCTTACAACACCAAGTAATTCTGTTAGCCAACACATGGTTTAGTTTTCGGTTAATGCTCAGCAACTTTTCCCAGAAGTGGTGTGGGTAATTATCAGACATAAACAACTCGGATTTTGTAGGTGTAATTAGAAAAAGCCACACTCTTCGATCTTTCTTTCTAAGTTTACTCCAGACACCCAGGTCTCCCATAGAGCATCTACAACGTCACATCATTAGTGCACATAAAAATTATCGTAATACATTCACCACTGAGCTTTGTCTTGGAACTACAATTACTTTAGAACGTTTAAAGATGTATAGCCCACTGCCACAAGCTGGATGTTGTACGTACTACTGAGAACAAAACTTGCACCGGGCTGTGTTGATTAGATACCAGCATTAACGTCCC